CTGGATTATCCCTACTACCCTTCTTAAACAACGGGACAACATTGGCTATTCTCCAGTCCTCTGGGATCTCACCTGCGGCCAAAGAGGATACAAAGATGTCTGTCAATGCTCCAGCAATTTGTTCTCATCTCCCTCAATAATCTGGGATAGATTCCATCAGGACCTGGTGAGACTTATCTACCTTAATACTTTTTAGGACACACCTCTTCCTTTTTAATAGTAACTTGGTATTCCCTTCATGGAGATCATCCTCCAGCAATTCCATCTCTTTGGTGAATACTGACACAATGTATTTGTTTAGGAACTTATCTACCTCTTCTGCCTCCACATATAGATTCCCTCCTTCGTCCTTGAGTGGGTCAACCCGTTCCTTGGCTACCCTCTTGCTTTTATACATGTACATTCTCCTTAATCCTGTTTATGACTTTTCATTACCCTTTTAGCCCTTCTAATTCCTTGTTTGAGTTCTTTCCTAATATACTTCAAGTGCTTCGGACAGTTCCCATCCTCCTAGACCTTACGTATGTTTCCTTTCTCTTTTGACCAAGGTCATAACATCCCTGGGCATCCAAGGTTCACGTAACCTGCCATACCTATCCTTCATTCTTGCAGGAACATACCACTCCTGAACTCTAATCAACTGCCATTTGAAATACATCCACATGCCTGATGTGGATTTACCCTCAAACACCAGCCTCCAAAATCAACATTCTTCAGTTCCTGCCTAATATTGCCTTCCCCCAGTTTAACACCTTTACCCGAGGACTATTGTTATCCCTATCCATGACTATCTTAGAACTCATGGTATTTTGGTCACTACTCCAGAAATGCTCCCCCACTGAAACTTCACTCACTAGGCTGGGCTCATTTCCCAATACCAGGTCCAGTATAACCCCTTCCTTGGTTGGACTGTTTACATACAGTATCAAGGAACACTCCTTAATAGTCCTTACAAATTTTGCCCCTTCCAAGCCCCCTAGCACAAAGTGAGTCCCAGTCAATACTGGGGAAGTTACCCATCATATCCCTGTTGTTTTCATATCTTTCCAAGATCTGTCTTAATATTCCCTCCTCTATCTCCCGCTGGCTGTTGGGAGGCCAGTAGTATACCTCTTGCATTACGATTTTACTTTCCTATTCTTGAGTTCTACGCATATTGCCTCACTGCACGAGTCCTTTGATGTATCCTCCCTCAGTACAACTGTGGGATACTCCTTTACTAGTTATCAACTCCCCCACCCATTTACATCCTCTTCCATCACATCTGAAGCATCTAAATCCTGGCATATTTAGCTGTCAGTGCTGTCCCTCTTTCAGCCAAGACTCCGTAATCACAATAATATCATAGTTTCAAGTACTAACCAAAGCTCTTAGTTCAGCTAACTTGCCTATTATACTTATTGCATTGAAACACATGCATTTCAGACCACTTTTCAGCAACGTTCCCCTGTCTACTCTTGTACTTAGTCATGTTTGCCTTGGTTTCTACCTCTCCCTCAATTTCCACATCTACTGTCCTACTCCCTTGGTTCACATCCCTCAAAAGACTAGTTTAAACCCATCCCAACCATGCCATCAATAACCCCCAAGGACATCAGTCCCGGTCCTGCCCAGGTGTAACCCGTCCAATTTGTACAGGTCCCATCTCCCCAGAACCTGAAACCCTCCACCTCATTTCATCATTTCAGCCACATGTTCACCCCATATATGCTGCTGTTTCTACTCTGACAGCTCGTGGCACTGGTAAAAATCCTGAGTTAACTACCTTTGAGGTCCTACATTTCAACTTTCTTCCAAGTTCTCTACATTCTGCTGTTATGACCCCAAACCTTTTTCTTAACCTATCACGTTAGTACCAACATGTACCACCACCAGCAGCTGTTCGCCCTCCACCTCCAGAATGTCCTGCAACCACTCCGAGACATCCAGGACGCTAGCAGGGAGGCTTTACACCATCCTGGCCGTTCATTTTGGCCACAGAAACGCTTAACTATTCCCCTTACGACTGAATTCCCTGTAACAATAGCATTTCTATGCCTATTTCTCCCTCTGTCTGCAGCAATTTGGCTGCTGCTGTTATCCCCGAGGCGCCAATCCCCTCAACAGTATCCAAAATGGTATATCTGTTTTGCAGGAGAATAGCCACAGGAGATTCCTGCACTGCTTGCTTAGCCCTCCTGCTCTGCCCAGTGGTCACCCATTCTCTTCCTGCCTGTGGAGTCCGAGTCTGCGGTGTGACCACCTCTCTGTAAGCGCTATCCACGATTGTCTCCACCTCGAAAATGCTCCAGTGTCCCCAGACGCCGCTCCAAATCCAAAACTCAGACTTCCAAGAGCTGCAGCTGAAGACACTTCTTGCACAAGCGCAGGTCCCAGCCACCAGAAATGTGCCCAGCTTCCCACATCGAGCAAAAGGAGCAGACTACGATTTGAAGCTCTCCTGCCATGTCTTACCCCTTTAACTTAATTAATCCTTACAATATCAAATATTTTTAAACCTAAGTTGAAGCTACTAATGCTCTCTGCTCCAATAGCAATTTCTCAAAATGTACCTGTTACTCACCAACAACAGTTTCCAGAAGCTGTTTACACTCTCTTTTATCCACTGGAACTTTCGCTGCTGACCCTCCTCTCACAATGTTCTGTCTCCTCACCTCTGAATCTTGTCTCTCCCTTTTTTTTGGATAGAGGAGGAAGGAGGGATGGAAACACTACAGTAATGCAATATTTTGGGCTGACTATACCTAACAGCAGGTTCTTCCATGATACCCTTCACACCCACGCTGACTGTGAAGTTCACTCCCAGAATGCAAATGAATGATGTCTCAGCAACCTCTGGTTGAATACTTTTCCTCCTGCCTTCCTCCTCTTGTGGCACAGTGACAGGGACCCTACCCCTGAACCAGGAGGCCTAGGTTCAAGTCCCACCTGCCCCAGAGAACATGCATCGAGATTTGGACATATGGTTGCTCATCTCGAAAAGTGTGAAATTGGGCCAGGCCTGTTGCACTGAAAACACAAATGCTCTTCCAAATAACAGATAAACTTCTTGGCTGTTAGAGGTACTGTTTACAGTAAGGAAGCATGTTGGTTGAAATGAATAATGTAATAAAGCCTACTCGGCAAAGTGAAGCAATGAAGACACAATCCTGACTTGGAAACATAATCCCAACCCTTCACTGTCACTGGATAAGAACCTTGGTAATTCTTCCTTTGCACCATGTGGATTGTTGTAGTTCAAGGTAACAGCTCAAATACTCAACGGAAGTTGTTGCAGTTGGGTTACAGGTGCTGGCCTTGTCTGAGCTGCTCACCTCCCAAAAACAAGTTATAAAAGAATCCTGCTCAGAGATCTACAGCAGTGCTGTTCTGAGGAGAAGTCAGAGTTGCTTTCCGCTTGTGGTGACACTGCTGCAATATGTTTTGTCAAATCTGGCAGTGAACACCATGAAACAAAACTACAAAGCACAATAACTCAAAATCGCTCGGAAGAAGGAACTAATTACTCAAAATAAACCCAAAACATAAGAGCTCAATTTACAAGGCTTTCTTTCAAAATTTTTTTGTCTAGTGTTTATGAGCATTGACTCAGGTAGGGGCAGAGACTCACTTGACACCAAAAGAATCAAGGGTTGACTGCCTTGAATTTTCGTACATATGGACCTACACAGACAAGCAAAAGGAGTCTAAAAGCCCAGATGCTTTCAACTAGAAATTTGTGCGCATAAGTTAACCAGAATTCAAAGGCATTTTTCAATGGTCAACAGCAAAGCAGCGTTGTGAGTTTCTGAAATATTTGACTTTTTATGGCATTGAAAATTCTAATCAGTAAACTTTGTGAAAGTACAATCACATTGAGAACAATACATGTTTTGTCATCTCTGTGCTTTGTTACCTTGAACTTAAGAAGCCACAAGTCTACATTTGTCGGTATATGATACACCGCTAAAACATGAAGTTAAATGAAGAACAAAAATCTGTTGTCTTCATGCCTCCCGTTTTGAAATCAAGAGACAGTCATATTTTGGTAGTTTGATTTGACAAACGATAGCAAATTTAAAATCCGAATACAGAATCACAGAAATGTTATAGCTCAGGAGGTTGCCATTTGATCCATTGTGCCTGCACCAGTTCATTAAATGATCATTAACTAAACTCTCACATTTTCCCCAAAACCATACGTTTTATTTTTACTCAAATAAATGTCCAATGTCCTCTTGAACACCTCAATTGAACCTGTCTCCACCACATTTCCAGGCGGTACATTTCATACCTTAACTACTCATTGAATGAAAAAAGTTTTTCCTCACTTCCCCCTTGTTTCTTTTGCAGATCACGTTAAACCTAGGCCTTCTTGTCCTTGTTCCTTTTATGACCAGGAACAGTTTCTCCCTATCTACTCTATTCAGCCTGCTTTGTGATTTTGAAAACCTTTATCAATTGTCCCAACCTTTTTCTCGGAGGAGAAACCCAGTCCTAACTTTTTCAACCTAAGCTCATTCTTGAAGTCCCTCACCCTTGGAATCAATCTTCTATACAGCTTTCACACTCTTCAGTGCATTTACATACTTCCTATACTGTGTGTCCAGTACACAAAACCCTAGATGAGTACTTTGTGCTTCCCATCACTCATCCAATTTTGTATCCATGCTGCTACTGACCATTTTATTCCATGACTTATAACTTTCCTCACGCATCTGTTGCGTTGCACTGTATCAAACACTCAGAAGTCCTTGTACATCGCATCAATAATGTTACTCTCATCGAGCCTGTTATCTCTTCAGAAAACGCTAGCAACCTAGTTAAACATGATTTCCTCTTTAGAAATCCATGCTGATTCTTTCTAACCCCTTCTGGTTGCTGGCATCATTTTAGATAATTTAAAACTTATGTTATACAAAACAAAAATCAGATAAAGGGCAACACTTCTTACAGAAAATATGGAACTGAACTCAAAACTGGAAACTAAAAATTGGCTAAATGAAGGATCAGAATCCTACCTTCAGGAGTTACAGCAGCAGGAAACATTTCTTTCAACAAGTCACCAAGATTATGTGGATGTCCTTCTGAACTAATTGGACGAAATAGTTTCTGAATAAATGGCCTTTCATTTAATGGCTGTAATACAAAGAATTGAATTTGTTTAAAATTCAGCACTCCAATTTACATTGCGATAAACTAGCTTGCAATCACTGGCTCACCAAACAGTTTGAAATGTTACTGCCCTAAAATTGCAACTTGTCTTAATGAAATACGTACTGTAACAAAAGCTTATGCCCCTTAGAAAGAATCTTGGCTGTGCATTCACATTACCAATTACTAATTTAAGGTACTTCCATCAATGCATCACTCCTATTCCAACAGAGTAGATTCAGTATTGTATACTTGTGGAACTCTAAACAATGCATTAGGTAGCTTTTCAGTATTAGTGGAGACTGCATACAATACATCTCTAATTGTGTTTCACTGTCTACTACCCTCTCCCCATTTTGTCTAAATGACATGCTTGTTTTTGAAGTTATAAACAGCTCTGAATTCTTCAGAGCGCTTATGTACTCTCACAAATTAACCCTGCTCATGAAGGATCACTCATATCAACTACTGATTGACTGTTAGGTGCACATGGTTTGCATACTCCAAAACAAGTCACTGATTTCACAGGAGATGTGAAGGCAGTTGTACAAGTCAAAGATTACGGAGACAATAAATGTCTTGGAATGATTTATGAAAACCTAAATTGATTTGATTAGAGGTTGAGTCAACTGGCCAGCATCAGTTCAGCTTTCCTGTGGCTGTACGTTTTTTGCTCCCAAAAACCAAAGCTATTGCTCATTTAATATTAATTTCAGGTGAGGGGGCATTTGACATCTCCTCTGAAACAGGCTGGACCATGAGCTCTCTGGCTAACCAGGACAAAATTCATCCCTCACTAATACCACTAAAGTAGATAATCTGATTACTCGTCCTTTGAGGAAACTTGCTCTGTACAAGTTACCTGCCATGTTTACTTATAACTGAATGGGAATTAAAGTTTCCATTGGCTATGATTAGCTCTAAGATGTTTGAACTAGTATCTTGTATAACTGCAAACTACATCTTGCTCTCTGTCTTCTCAAACAAGCAAAAGTACTTCGCATATTATGAACTACTTCAAAGCATAATCATAATAACAAGGGTGACATAAATCACTGAGTCCACCATTTATAAAAGATGCAGATTGGTCAGGAACAGCTAGCAGCGTACTTCCTGTGGTGGGAAGAACACACCATCATTGCATGAGTATCACAAATTAAATCTGGACATGAAAACATGACGTTTGTTTAAAATAAGGGCAGAATAATTTTCATATTTATAGAATTAAAGGGCAATGCTATTTAATTCAATCTGGTGCTTACTCTTCAAAGAACAGTTACTTTATAAAACATACCAAAGAAAAATAATCAAGGCAAATATTTACCTAATAAAATCACTTAAAAGTACTGAAAGTGCAGCAAAATATTATTTCTCATTTGGAAAAGTGTATATGTGGCGAAATCTTTGCCACTTGCGCACATCTTGTAAGATGCGAAGGCTAATGAATTTACAACACACTTAGAACTAAAGGCAACTGTTTTTCACACATCACACAACTTAGCAAAAATCTACAGACACAGGAAATCTGAAACAAACCCAGAAAATGGTTTACACCAGTCACTATCTGGAGTAAAAACAGGCAAGCCAAATTTAAGTATGGACCATTTGTCAGGTCTCTCCATAGATGTACAGAACTGTTGAATGATTTGAGTGTTTTCAATGACAAGCAGAGATCATATTACAAATCAGAAGTCTTTGTTCTATACAATTTCCTAAATTTCAACGTAAGAGACTACTTAAAGCAACTTGCATTCACACAGCATCTTTAATACCATGAAACGTCACACAACATTTCACAGGAGGAATCATAGAAAATAATTATACAAAGACACTTAAGAGGTGTTGGGGCAGATCACTAAAAGCATAATCAAAGAAATGGGTTTAAACGAGCTTCTTAAAGGAAGATAGAAGCGAGGGGGCAGGGGCTTAAGGAGAAATTTTAAATCATAGGCTATTGGCAGCACTGACACCAATGGTGCAGCAATTCACATGCAGAATGGGCAAGAGGTCAGAATTTGAGCAGCATATATCCAAGAGATGCAGGGCTGAAGGAGATTGGAGATAGGGAGGGGTGAGGCCAGGGAAATATTTGAGAAAAAAAGGGGGATAACTTAGAAACAAGGCATTGTTTAAGTAGAAGAGCCAATGTGGATCAGTGAGTTTGGGGCAGAGAACTCAGGTGGCCGTAGTACTCCTGTTAGGCTGCGTAACAGCCTGAAAGAAAGTGCATAGAACTCATTACATAGATATAGGACATGCACGCACAGCTGTGCAAAAAATTTCAATGGGATCGTGCACAGCTAGATCTTAAAAGAATGGTGGGAGGCCAGCCCTGAATGCATTGGAAAAGTCAAATCTAGAGATAACAAAACTAGATGAAGGTTCCAAGTCTTTTTTGGATGTTGCTGCTGACAGGCAGCATATAGATGAGAAATAGGAAGTGCTATGAAAATAGGTACTTGGGTAAGACTACATGGGCACAAACAGCAGCCATTTCAGGTAACTGACTTGCTGAAGTTTTATGTACAAGAATGCAACCAGGCAATGTTAAGGTAATGAGGTATAACCTGTTGAAAAAGTAACAAAAAGAAACTCTCTAGGCAAGAGAAGTGCAACATTTAATCAGGGGACTGCTAATCACTAGATATGAAATTGCAAGTTTATTACCAAGTAAAGATAAGGTTTGTTTCAATCCAATTACTGCCCAGTTAGTTTATTCCTGTCAGAACTGTAAATGAAACTAGAATGGGGATAGGGAAGAGCTAGGAAATTAATGTGTTATGTTGTGCAGTTGCCCTACTGAAAAATTGCAGGCGATGTCAGGCAAAGACAGTTAATAACAGAGGTACATGTATCAAATTATCATTCATACTCACTGTCAGGGTTTACATAAAAAGTAGTTAATTGTAACATCCTGAAGGAACCTAGGATCCCATGTAACCACAACTGTCAACAGTCTTGATTGAGAAGACAGAAAATGAATGGCATAAATTAAAAGTTCTCCCCAATTGGAAGGAAGGTTTGCTTCCAATGAAAATGAGTAAAAGACCTCTCTGGGATTTGATGTGTTTACTTTTTAAAAAAAAAGCCTTTACACAAAATTCAATTTCAATGTTTACTCAACCATGCGTTTGAATTCTGTTAAAAATACTCAGTTCCACCGTTATTTTCCATTTCCTGAAGAGAGATTCAGAGTCATGTAGGAATTACAACATCAGCTCAAAGAACTGATTCAGTTTCTAGTTTTACTGTTAATTAAATCTCATCACATTTGCCCTAAAGATTTTTCACTAAACATTTTCCAACATTTCAACTTGTGTAGCTGGAGGCAGTGTTGGTATATGCTCAAGGATCATTTCTAATTGAAATACTTCAAATAGATATGCACAATGTTCAGCGTATTTGTTACACACTTTAATTTTGTAAGAAGCAATAGCTAACTGTCTCCTAAAAACAATGCAGGTCTTGGCTTGCCCTATATTTTCTATCCAAACTGTCAGTCACTCACACTTCAATGTAACACCTGAGCCTATGTGCCAGATACACAGTGCTTGGAGATGAATAATCAGTCAGCTCTGCAAATGTAGGTGCATGGTCTTGACACCTGTAACTAAAAGCCCTGTTTTTAGGAGGCTGGGGAATTGAAAGCAAACAAAATAGAAATATGGCGCATGTTAACGGTGGTGTGCATATAGGATTACCAGAAAAACTGAGTCACTGGCAGGATGCGAAGGATTTGCAAGATTAGCTGTAAAGTTTAGAAGGTGAGAGTGCCTAGGTTGTAATTAGATGACAACATTTTAATACATTTTTAATTAGATCCATCAATAATTAACTCTTTCAGTATAAAAGGAATGTTAGTCCCACAGCTGTATTTCAATTCCCTGTGCCGCAAATAGATAAATATTTTTAAGAGTGTATTAGGAACAGTTTTGCGGTCCACTGCTGTTATGCTGAATTTGTTTAATCCTTTTATCAGACAAGGTCAGAAATCACATGACACCAGGTTAGAGTCCAACAGGTTTATTTGAAAACACAAGCTTTCAGAGCCTCGCTCCTTCTTCAGGTGTCAGTGAGAGAGATGATATCAGACACAGAATTTATAAGTAAAAGATCAACTGGTTTTACCAGACAGTTTTAAGGCTGGAGAATATAATAATGTTCCTATAATTTAGATTTCAACCCTATAATTTATTGGTCACAATAGAATCAATTTTATAATAAAGTTTTCTAGATCAAATAAAAAACAATTCAAACAAAATAAAGAATTAAATACAACACAAAATCAATCAATCTCATTCACTTAGATAAATTTTGGTGTGAAAGGCTTAAGAGAATCTGTACTGTCCCACAACATTTAAAAGTTTTCAATTCCAGGGAAATATCAGAACACAACAGGGGTTTCATTCCTGCTCCCTATCTTGAGATCTTTACTGGAAAGGTCTAGCTAAAAGGTCAAGCAAGGACAGAATCAGACTTAGCAACAATCCTTCTCCTACTCTGTGTTATAATGCCTGTAGAGGCCAATAAGACCTTTACTATGACAAAGATCAACATTAACTAAATGTATTATTATGAAACCTAGTACTATAAACTCCAGAACAAATTATTTTAATATTAAAGAGTCTTAACCTGACTGATAGGCCAGATCTCTGTAAGAGTTGCAATCTTATATTTAAAAGTCCAAAATCAGTGTCAGTTCTGAACAGGAGTTCATACTGGGCTCAAAATATCAATTCTGCTTCTCTCTCCAGAGATGTTGGCAGACTGGCTGAGTTTCTCCAGTACTTGCTGTTTTTATTTTGCATTTCCTTCACCTGCAGCACTTTGCCCTTATTTAAATATTTACTTCACTGTCACTTCTCTTTCAGTTATGCATACATTGAAGTTTTGCTCTTCTCTCCGAAGGGATTTCTGTTTGAACCTTTCAGATGAACAAATCATAAAATATAGCACAGGAACAGGCCCTTCATCCCTCCAAGTCT